TTTTAAACAAAAAAAAAAAGTTACGTGATAACTATATTTCTTAATTATAGTAGTTATGACGGGTTAAAAAATTTTAATTAATTTTTTATTTTTTAAAAAAAAAAAGTCAAAGGAGAAGGAAGGATTTAAATGAAATTTAATTATCTTTGTGATTTATTTAAATTTTTTGGTGCGTCAAGCACGACATCCACAACTATATATTTGACTTTCTTAATAAATCATTTTTTTTTTCAATAAATAATATGTAATGGATTCTGATACTTATAACTCAATAAAATAATTGTGATGTCACAAAGCATTACGATCAATATTATGTTTTAATCTTTCACATAGTTATTTACGTGGAGGCTATGTTAGCGAATCTTCTTCTTGGTACGGTGAGCAATCGATAATTGTTAAGCAAAATCCATATTTATTATGCTCAGAAGCTTTTTGATGATTATTCGTTAACTGTTTGTGTCTTTAAAACATTTGTGCTTTAATTTATAAGATTTCGGCATTTTCTCTCTCTCTCTCTCTCACGTAGCGTGAACTTTGAAATAAACATGATGCAAATAGATGGTCTTATGTTAAGTCAACGATCACTGGAAAAAATTAATAGAAATAATAAATTTTATTATATATTTAAAAATTTATAAAACTTTTGAAAAGCAATACTTTGAAAGAAATTTTGAACGTTTTCATATAATTTCGAAAATATTTTAGAATTTTGAATATTTAACTTAATTTTTCATCAAACTTTAAACACATATAAGGAGTTTTCCAAAATTTGTTTTAAATATTTATTTTCTAAACTATATATATATATATATATATAATTACACATCAATTATTATTATATTTAGTATTTTTTAATCAAAATAAAGATTAAGTTATTGTCATATTTTAATTTTGATCAAGTAACTATCCCTCCCTAAAACAAGCCCTAAATTAAACCCATTAGCCCAAAATCAAAACCTAACCTTCCCCAATTTTAATCTTCAAATTTGGCCCAAAGTCCATACCTGATTATCTGGGTCTCAATGCATGTCGAGCAGATCATAAGCAAGAGTTTCTTTTTTTCTTAGAAAATTTATTAATCATTGGTGTTTATGTTGCATGCATGAACTTCCATGGAGATTTCTTCAACCACGATCAATATGTCCGTAACTTACTCCGAGCTTGCACGCAAACTCCTTCCATTAAAGCAACGAAAGCTCTTCATGCACTCACCATTACCTTGGCACCATATCTTGCCCAACCTATCTTTATTTACAACAATCTTCTCTCTCTTTACGGATCAATGGGTCAGTTACACGTTGCGAGTAAAGTGTTTGACAAAATGCCTGACCGAAACTTAGTCTCCTTTAACTCAATGATAAGTGCGTATGGTAGATGTGGGGATGAAGAGGAAGCTTGGAAACTTTTTGGTGGGATGAGAGGTTATGGGTTTTCTGCGAGTCAGTTCACTTTGGGGGGGTTGTTGTCCGGTGACTCTTTTGACATTTTCCGTGGGGTTCAGCTGCAGGGACTAAGTGTGAAGAATGGCTTGTTTTATGCTGATGCTTTTGTTGGGACCGCTTTGTTGGGTTTGTATGGTAGGCTTGGATGTTTGGATGAAGCGGTAAGGACTTTTGAAGATATACCTAGAAAGAGCTTGGTGACTTGGAATGCTATTATATCTTTATTTGCACAATATGGGTTTATTGATGATTGTATGTCCATGTTTCGTGAGCTTGTTAGAATGCAGTCTTCTCTCTCTGAATGCTCCTTCTTGGGTGTTTTATCTGGTTTATCAAGTGAGAGGGATTTGGAAATAGGACAGCATATACATTGTTTAGTAGTTAAGAATGGATTCATTTATGAAGTTACTGTTGTGAATTCTCTCCTCAGTATGTATGTCAAATGTGCAAGCCTTGGCTTTGCGGAGAAGATATTTGAGGAAGCGCCTGTTAGGGATATTGTATCTTGGAATACGATAATGGGTGCGCTAGCAAAGAGTGAAAGCCTTGAAATAGCATTGAAATACTATATACGAATGATGGTTGGTGATATGTCGGCTAACCAGGCAACTTATGTAAGTGTTATAACTTCTTGCACTAGTTTGGTGATCCCAAAGTTTGGACAATCCATCCATGCTAATATAATCAAGAATGCTTTTGAATCTGATGTTATTTTGGGTAGTGCATTGGTCGACTTTTATGCTAAATGTGATCAGTTGGAAGATGCTCACTGCTGTTTCCATGATATACATGAGAAGAATGTGGTATCTTGGAATACATTGATTTTAGGTTATGCTAATAAATTCTGTTCTTATTCAGTTTCTTTGCTAGTGGAAATGCTCCAATCAGGTTTCCAACCTAATGAAATTACATTTTCTGCTGTCCTTAAATCATCATCTTCATTAGAACTCCGGCAGCTTCATTGTTTGATTACAAGGCTGGGCTATGAAAATAATGATTATGTATTGAGCTCCCTCATGGCTTCATATGCAAAGAATTTTCTCATGACTGACGCCATGTCTTTTGTTGATTTTTCTAAAGCACCAATTTCTGTTGTCCAATCCAATATCATTGCTGGAATATATAACAGATCTGCTCAGTACTATGAAACGATAAGGCTGCTTTCTCTGCTTGAAGAACCTGATCTTGTATCTTGGAACATTGTAATTGCTGCTTGTGCTCGAAGCGGTAATTACGCAGAGGTTTTTGAACTTTTTCGACACATGCAGCTGGCTCAAATCTTCCCAGATAATTACACATTTGTTAGTGTTTTATGCGTATGTAGTAAACTCTGCAACCTTGCTTTGGGTAGTTCTATTCATTGTCTTATTATAAAAACTAATTCCAGTCTCTGTGATACCTTCTTGTGCAATATCTTGATTGACATGTATGGAAAATGTGGGAGCATTAGGAGTTCAGTGAAAATCTTTGATGAAATGACTGATAGAAACCTTATCACATGGACAGCTCTAATTTCTGCTCTCGGAGTCCATGGTTATGTTCGTGAGGCATTTGATCGGTTCAGGGAAATGGAATCACTGGGTTTTGACCTTGATGGGGTTGCTTTCCTTTCAATACTTAGTGTGTGCAGGCATGGAGGTTTAGTGAGAGAAGGGATGGAGATTTTCAGAAAAATGCACTCAAGTTATGGAATTGAACCAGATATTGATCATTATCATTGTGTAATAGATATGTTGGTCAGATGTGGATGCCTTAGGGATGCGGAGCAACTGATTTCTAGCATGCCTTTTCCACCTAATGCCCTTATTTGGCGCAGCTTTCTTGGAGGGTGCAAGAGATATGGAACTGTTGGGACTCAAGAAGCCAAAATGGAAACTTAACTCATTCTGTTTCTTAGACTGATGGGGAATCATCTGCATTGGACAGTGTTGGATCCTTACATTTTTTTCACCTCTCGGATTCTCATTGCCAAGATGAAAAGGTATAAAAGTTCATAATTTAGCAGATTTTTGCCAACTGATTTGTGGTTTTGTTTGACAAGGACAGTTTTACAAACACAGGCTAGCAGACTAGGTGAAAACCTTGCTTTATGCAAGAATGGAACCAAGATTATGCTACTTCTTGTTCATTATCTGGGGCTTCGCAATGCCTCATTCACACTATTCAAGGTAACAGCTTAGCCCTCAGGGTCCAGTGGAACTTAATGCATGTCCTGGAGCTGTTCTTGTGTTAACTAAATGATCTTGGCAAGGAGAAAACCCAGCACAAGCAAAATTAAGCCATTTGGATACAGATTGCATCTTTATCTAGTATGATAATTTTTTGAAATGGAAATTGAAGATCTACAGATCTAACCTTTTGTTTTCTTCTGTTGCAGCATCTATTGTATATCTGAGCAAGGTCAACATTTCATCAAAAGATCTTCCTGGTGAGTAAGCTAATTTTACTTTCCTAACTCATGAGGTGATTCAGGTTTAAGTTACTCATTATTTGGGACATTAGAAGGCTATGGTAGAAAGTTTAGATTTTACGTGTGCTAAACACACAAAATAAGTTAGTAACTATACAAGAAAAATAGAAATAAATACCTAGATTTTTGAAGCAACAAAGAGTGTCATATTAGATTTGCATACTGACCACTTAACCCATCAAAGTGAATTAATTAACAGGTTTTCCGCAACCTCTAGGTTAGATTTAGAGAGCAAAAGAATGTGGAATTTTTTTTTGAGAGAGTGAAGAGGAAAAACATCCAAGAATGCTTGGAGATATAACATTCGAAAGTCCACAACTTCCAGATGACCAATTGGTATCTACCACTTAATAGGTGGTTTCAGGAAGTAAACACTATGTAGTTATTTCACTCATGTGGGCTGATCCAGGTTACCTCATCCTTGGTAATATTCATAGTCTAGTCCGAACCCATATATGAACATCTCCTACTTGCAAATAATGGACTCAAGTGCATTTTTACTATAAATATTTAATCTCTCTTTGATCTCAATTACTCCCATATTAGTAAAATAGGTTTAACGATTGACGAAAGTATGACCAATTATTGCCACTAACCTCTTAAAGAATTAAACTAAAGCATGACAAACCAGAAAATTCTTTCAATTGCAGGACCCCAAATTTAATTTCGTAGTAACAAGTCATGATGTGTCAATCCTTCAATTAATAGGATATAATTTCAAATTTAGATAAGGTATCTATGTTCTTCCAAATTTGTGCATTAATTACAAATATGTTAACCTTAATTCACTTCAACATATTTATGACACGTAAAGAACCAGATACTGAGTTAAAACCACAAAGATTTCAAAGTCTTATCATTAGCTATTTGATAATTTTGTAGTCCCAAGGGTTTCACACAGTGAAGAAGTAGAAATTCATTCTCTATTATCCTTTATGGTCAATTTTGCATATGTACTGTGAACCATGTGCGAAGATATTATTCTCCTTTTTCTCAAGAAGTGTATGTCATATATATACACGAGTTTATCCATTCTCAACTCTTTAACTTGAGTTCTTCAACTAGCCTAGCATTTTTAGAATTAATTAAGAACTAAGGCTTGTTATACAGGAGAACTAGTATGGTAAATAATGTCATACCAGTTGTTCTTATTAGCTTGTACATACTATACCTGTCCAGTACCAATATGGTATAAATACTGGTCAATAGTTGGACCAGTTGCTATCAATTATAAATTCTCAAAGTTTGTCAGATGTATTTGTAAACCAAATATTTATGTGTACATTATTTATTTTATATGTATGTTACCTACATTAAGTATAAATTATCAAGTAGTTCATTATTTTTGTATAATTTTATTATTATTATTAGTATTATTATTATTATGTGTATATATAATTTTGTATAGAAAATAAAATAACAATAAATTGGAGAGGATCACTAAAATTCATGGTAAACATGTAGGTATGGCCCCTGTCCCAAATTCAAATTGTCGGTCGGCATGGTGTTTATTGCTTTAATGAGAACATCTATTACAATCGGTATATTGTTATTCTCATGGTGACCTAATCCTGATTCCTTTTCAATGGCAATCTGTTTTAAATTTTATGCGTATTCTTCTTTTTACTTAAAATAGACTCATCCTTGCACATTATGAAGATGTTAGGGGGCAATTGCCTATTTGAGTAGGTCATTTTGGTCTACTAAACATATTTTTTAGCATCATATATATCAAGCATATATATACGTACACATATATATTCATTGTTTTTATCATCATTCAAGTACATATACAGTGTGTGTGTTTATCATCATTCAAAAATTTGCTTTTGAAGGGATAGAAGATGCGAATGGATTTGATATACTTACGAATAAATAGTCTAGATTTTTGGTTTTTTGTTATTGTGTCATCCTTCAAGTTCGTTGGAGGATTTTGAGGACCTAATTGATAAATTGATTGGTACGGGATGTCCGTATTAATATCACACTTTATACTTTTATTTCGAAGAAAAAATTATTAACATTAAATTTTATCTTAATTATTGGGACCCATTTGTTCCTAATTGCTTTGCATCCAACCCGAAGATCAACCAAATTTCGTGTTTGGTTGTTTTTCATTGACTCCATTTCTTATCATTATGGCCTCCTGGCCATAGATAATTTGCTCCGGGCCCGTATGCCAATAGGAAAGGAAACAAAGGAAAGAATATTGAGGATAAAAAAAACAATAAGAAATTCTTCCAGTTGGTTAAACCCCTTTTGCAAAAGAACCTTTTTGTGCAAAAGATATTAATGTAAAAATAATGTGTTAAATTATTTCTTTTAAAGTTAAGTTTTTTTCACAGAAATCAACTCAGTTTTATTATTTGTATAGCATTAAAGGCAGAACATTAGGTTTCAAATGATGGCTGCCGCCTCATTTATATTAATTTATTGTCACTAGATAAGGGGAATTTATGTTTGATCAACATTTAGCAGTTTACCAGATTTACTCTTAAGGATGCATCTTAATGTGTAAATGATGTATTGGACATTTTCCTATCAATTTAAATTTTTAGCATAATTTATCACAGTGACTTATAAAATGCACATAGACTTGGCATATTATGTTTAAGAAGAATTAACTATAGTAAAGTGGACAGAATGTGGTTGAGGCACCCTTTGACCCTTCAGAATTATTGTATTCGTTTGCTAACCCTTGGTAGTTATAAATTGCCATATACCTCATAGAGTTATATATCCAATTTCCGCATCCCACTGTAGCACACAACTCACACAAACATACTCGAAGAGGAATTAGGCTCTTTTTGAGTGTTATGGTCTGCAGGTTTTATGCATGGTAGTGATTAAGGGGAATTTAAGTGTTGTGAGTTATTAAATTTTAACACTCTTAAGTTTAAGTTACTAATTAAATTTTAAGTTACTGGAGAAAAAATAATTGTTTAATTATCACTTGATCACTAGGTTATTATGAACTTACTAGATCTCTCAAACAAATTAGTTATATACATACACATACCTCAATTAGGAAACTAGTCGAGGGTACTTGTTTTCCTTTGTTTTTTCATTTATCCTCCTTTAATTACTTGTTGATAGATGAAGTTAACTCTGAAAAATTTGATGTGGCAGTCGATAAAGTAGGAAGGAAGTGGTTGTAGTGGATGAAATATAATCATAAGATTCAGTCTCTCCTTTTTTTAGTTTTTATGTGGATCAAAGGATCCATTAATTAGCTATAGTTTATGTGGAGCTTTTGGTAAAAATTATATATTTTCCAACAACTGTCCATTTTCAGGGTTTCTCAAACTGATTTCTATTCGATTGTCGGTTTGGATTAACGCTTTTTCCTTAGAGATAAAATGGAACTTGCTCATTCACTAATGTGAAACCACTAGTACTTTTTCTCTTTTGAAGTAATATGTGTGTGTGTCTATATATTTATATATAGGATGATTAGACATTTTTGCTTTGCTGGATAATATTTATATATAGAATGATTAGACATTTTTGCTTTGCTGGATAATATTTACTATAACTCCCAAAAGAACCATGCTATTAAAATATTATCATCATATCACCAATTCTATATTTATATTTCATCAGCCATAAGATAACCAGAAGATCTTCAGTCATTGGACAGGCACACAGTAAAAAATGAACTAAAAAATTTCATGAATGAAAACTCGAGCTAATGATCTTAAGTTCTTATGCACGATTGAGCACTCACCTTAGATCTTCTCCTTAACATTGTATCACTTTCTGCCTTTCGACATTTGATTCCACAAGGGATCAATCTATGTGTCTAGTATGGAAACATTAAACAAATAGTTAGCCTACATGAGAAGACCAAACTGAACCACTAATCCATTTATGCAATAGCATACCCGATAAGCTTCTAGATTCTCAGCATTAATATTTGCAAGTAAAATTACATATTGCATATTTGTCAAATTATAAGTTCTTTTGGGTAGAAGCTTCAACATAGCCTTACTTCTGATAGTAACCACAGAATAGTCTTTATGGTCATGCCAATTAACAGGACTCGCATTAGGCATCTGCTCCTCATCTTAGGCATCATCCAGTTCGCTTCGGTTTACTGAAAGGTTGATAAGGAAAAATCCACTTCCTAGAGCAATCCTAGTCTATCACATCCGCCCCAACTCATACAAGATCAAAAGACAAGATTAGTTCTGGCCCTAAATAATTGAAGATCAACATTCATTAACTGGATGAATATTATATAAACACCAAAAAAGCTGCAGAGAACGACATGAATGATAAAATAGGAGGGTAGGATTTAGGGTTTGCATTGAGCATCTGATAGAGCAAGAATCCTTGCTAAGAAGAGGAGTAAAGAGAGCAAAAAATTATAGTCAAGTAGAAAACTCTGCTATGTAGTATATTTTAACTCAATGCAATAAATGGAATTTAGTTTTCTTCTTTTCTAATAGTGAGGAAAAAAATGAGAAAAGAAAATTAAGAATATCAAGGCTGTTTTTGGTAGATCAAAATTTATTTTTGGTAAATAAATTGAAATTCAATTCACTTTTTAAAACAAATGTTTAATTATACTATTTGTCAAATAAAGACCGTGCTGGAATAGTTTTTGTGGGTTCAATCAAAGTATAGATAAAAATGTCGGTTGAGAATGTCAAAATTCCTAAAAGTTGTGGGGTTAAATATGATCCATTGTGTCAAAATTATCATATTTCATAACCAATAGAGGGGTTAAAATTACTAAAATTACAAAGTTAAAACTATGCAATTTTATTAATATTAAAGGAGGAGCTGCTCTCTTGCTGTTATGTTGTAATCATACGACTGTAAAATAATAAAAAAAATTAAATAAATATAAATCCTATTTGAAAAAAAACAGAAGAGATCAATAGTTTAGTTTATATGCTGATGAGACGATAAGAAATGTATATGTTCGTGTTCTATACATTAACATTGAATATATATGTACATATATATTTTAGTTTATTAAAAGATTGCTCACTATTATAATATTAAATATTAATTGAATATATTATTGTTCAGCTGTGATCACTTTGTTTCCTCCTTGCACATAGCTGGGTTAATCTGGTGTAGTAGTACTGTCAATATGGTATTATAAATACAAGCATTTGGTTTGGTACCTAAAGCTACAAGCTTCCATATTAATACACACACACACACACACATATATATATAGTTGGGTCGGTAGAAGTAGAAGAAAAGTGCTTAATGGGAGGAAAAGGGTCAGTTGCAGTTGTGTTGATTATGTTGGTATTCTTTGTTACAAGTTTGGAGGGGCGAGTCCATGTTTGGAAGAGGACTGAAAGTCGTCTTCTTCTGCATGAACTTGGGTATGATCAAAGTAAATTGGAATATTACCGAAGCATTTCCTCTACAGTGAAAACTGATAGATTGTCTCCCGCAGGACCTGATCCTCAGCATCATCACTCCAATCCCCAAGCCGCCCCTTAATACTACCTTACATATGCATATATATATATATATATATATGCTATGCTCTATCTTATATTTCCTTATACATATATATTGTTTTCTTTTCTTCCTATTATATCTGTCTGTGTTAAAGCTTGCTAGCCTTTAGGTAGAGCAGGCCGCAGTTGTAGCTAGCTACCATATTTCCATGGAAGCCGATTGATCAAGTTTATAAGTTTTTAGATTCCATGTATTATGTTAATTTTTCTTCAAATTTACTACTCGCCATTTCTAGTTCTTTTCAATAATATTTCTCTCTCTCTCTCTCTCTCTCTGGACTCGAATGCATGCATAGCAAATGTTCATTTTTTCAACAAAATGCAATCTTTTCTTTTTTCTTTTTTAGTTAAAAATTTATATATTTTAATAATTAAATGACGTCTATAGACCAATAACAACGTAATTATGGTCTATTTTTATTGATAAAGATAAGTTTAGTATTGTTGCCTTTACTCTCCTCGTACCATATTCTTCTTCGTCTGCAAAATACAGTTCAGTACTCCATCTCACCTTCTGATCATCTCTGTTCCTGGAAAAATTTAATCCATCAACACATAACTTCTTGATTATACACGAAAGATTATGTTGTGTGTGATTGACATACTTAAAAAAAATACTATATTTGAATGATTAAATTTGTTCAAATAGGAATAATATATATATTTCATTAGAAAGAATATCTTAATAAAAATTTATATATTTTATTAATTAAATAGTATTTATATTGAAATAACACAATATCTTAATAAAAAATAAATGAAAATTCACCGTTAATAGTTTAAATTTA